TCAGTTTCAAGTTTTCTATAGCATTGCTAGGGAAGTTGTTTATATGTCTGATTGTAAGATATGTTTGACCATTCCATCTATCTTTATTGTAAATGTTTCATATTAATGAATAAGCTTCTTTATTTAAAAAAGTTTTTTAAAAAAAATTAAAGAACAGAAGTTATTATTATTTTCAAAATAATTTAATGACCAAAAGTAGCATTTTATCTTTTGAAAAAAAATACACAAATTTCTCTAAATCCCTGCCTATCAGGAGCCAAGGTGAGGCATATCAATAGTAATCATTCATATATTTCTGTTGTTTTAGATTGAAGATTTGAAGGAGACAGGGTGTCCATTAAATTATGACATGGGATTAATAACCTTAATTAAAGGCAATGAAGTGAAATCAAACCTTAATTATATGTAGAAGGAATAAATACAGAATATTCACTTCCAATTTAATGATTATATATGATAATAAATTATTAATTAGTCAAAAATAATGCATGTTAGTCTATAGAAAATTGCATAGTGAACTCCCAAGCCTCAAATTTGTTGTTAAAATTGAACAAAACTTGTATAATTGATTGAAAAAGAAAAAGAAAAAAACTTTAGCATGGGTTATAACCAACGCAAAGTGTCTTCCATATCCATATCTAGGTACATAGGAAAATTATCAAATGCAATAAAGCTAATAGGAAAAACATAATTTTATTTTTTATTATATGTACCCGCCAGTGTCACATTTTGAATGTAAATGGGCACCCTTTCCAAGTTTGTTAGTTGCGCACGGTCCGAACTTCTGCTCTGGCGAAAAGAGAGAAAAAGGGCGATTTTTTTCGCGGCAAGTCTCCGGCCGGCTTTTCCGGCGCCGGCGAGCTTCGGACGGCCAATATGAATCGGTAGAAAGTCTCGTCTCTCCAAGGCGGACAAGGCCATGCAAGGGCAATGGCCGGATTCCGTTCGGGAGGCGCTCAAACAGGTCAAAGACCTCTCGGCCAGTTTGCGTCGCGAGGGCTTGGTGTTTTCTCCGGCGGCGATCCGAGCTCTACAGGCCGGCGATCCTCTTCCAAGGCCTAGCAAAGCATTCGTCTGGTCTTAGGCTTCCATCCGCACCAACAAGGATCGAAATCGGAGGCCATATGCGAAGGGCGGTGATCGCGATTGCGGAACTGCTAGGGTTTCGGCCATGGTGGTTCCGGAGACGTCTCAGGCTTCTGATCCTCACTATAGGAGTGGTCGAGGCTTGGAAACACCTTATGGAGATGATCGCCATCAAAATCAAGCAGATCGGACGCCGGTGGAGATCGCCGATCGCGAAACTAGGGTTCCGGCTAGGGTTTCGGCCTGTGGCCCGTCGCCGGCGATCCAATGCTCCGATAGTCCTTCTGATCAGGTCGTAGACGTCCATGGGTCTAGGGGGACTGATCGTGGTGATCAGGCTGATGATCGGACGTCGGGAGACTCCCCAGCGAGATTTGGTCCCTCGACTTTTGCGAAGACGATTCCGGCGGAGCACTGCCATGGGGACCCTCATGGGTGTGTCGGAGGCACCCATGAGGCTGCTGAGGACGATCGAGGAGCTCAGATGGGAATTCGGAGGTCAATGGAGATCTCCGGCGCCGAACCTACGGTTTCTGTCCATTCGGGAGCTCCCGCGAAGGGTCGTGATTGCGCGCCAGAGGCCATGGTTTCTTGCCTTGGCTCTGCTGGGGTTGTGATCTCAGAGAAGGGAAGGGAAAGGCGGAGTGAAGGCGGAAGCTCGATGTCAAGCGCAATTGGCCAAGAGTTCTCCTCTTGCGCTATGGCCGTAGCTTCGCCAATCGCCGGACGAACGGAGAAGATGGTTGCTAGGTCGATGTCTGCTGTCTCGGTGGTGGATTCCAGGCCTGGAGATGGTTTTAGTCGACTTGCAGCTCAACGTTGCCTTGAGGCCTTGGGTGTTTCTTTGGTGGATGCAAAAAACCACTCCAAGCCCGAGGATCTCTTGGCAGTTTTGGTTGCAGCTATGGAGGAGGAGGAAAGTCGGACTAAGCTTGGTGGTTTTCAGCTTAGGCCTCAGGCCAAGGTCAACCGTTTCAAGAAGTCCAAGGCTAAACGGAAAAGGCTTGTTGCGTTGGAGGAGAAGGATGAAATCGAGGATGGGAAGCAGCATGGTGGTCTATTGGCAACCAAGTCCATGGTGCTTGGTGGTCCCATGGCCACTGCCCACCTTGGGAATGCATACACTGCCGGTAGACGGGCTGCTGTGGTTCGGAAGAAGCGAGCAATGGCTCGGGTTGAGCCATATGGGGTGGTGTCTAAGCAGCAACACACTTCGGGTAAGCTTTCATCTCCTCTTGTTCCGAACGTAACTGGAAAAACCGGGACTGGGCATGCATCATCCATGGTGTCTAATCGGCAAGCTCAGTTGGAGCAAGCTGGTCATAGACAACACCCCCCTAATCGGCTTATTCAAATTGATGAGGCTGGTCATAGGAGTGGGATGGATGGTGCCAAGGTCTCGGCTTGTGCTCAAGGTGTGCAGTGTGGTGAGAAAGCTGCCTCACATGCCACATCTCTTGGAGCTTTTAATGGTGAGGGGAAGGATGGCCGATTGTGCTTGAATGTCATGCCTCCTAACATGGATGGCAGTGCCAATAAAACTGCCCTCAATGCCGAGAACAAGGCTTATGCACCTCATAATTTTGGGGGAAATCAAAGTGGAGGACTGGCTATTTGTATGGGTCAGTCCTCTACTTTGGTTACACGAGGCAGTGAGGTGGAGGGCAATGCTAATTGCCGTGCGCCCCATGGTGGTTGCATGAGTGAAACTGTAGCTCATGGGGATGGAGGGCATGCCGTGGTTTCTTCGGGTGGGGTGCAACAAAGTGCATCTCGGCCGTTAATTGAGGGCACTAACACTCAGGCTGGGGGGAATGGTTTTGGCCATATTCCCGCAACATATAATGCCTCGGTGGGCGCTCATGTGAGCTTGCCCAATCCTAAGTGCTTAGCTCATAACCTTTGCTTGATATTTGGATGGAGTTGCCCATTTGTGATAGATGATAATGTGGGGTTGGTTGCTAATGGTGAGCCAACATTAGATCATACGCCACTTTTGTCTACCAAAGGGGTCACTAGGCACGGTTGCAATCTCACACCTACTATGGTTCATAGCACGATTGTGAATTCCGAGTCTTTGGGTAAGGAGAGGCAGGTGAGTGGTGGGAATGATAGTGGGGGTGGCCGGAATCTTCAACAAGGGGGAGCAAATGCTTTAAAGGCCTTTTTGCCGGAGGATGCTTGCACGGCAACAGGTAATGTTTCTACCCCTCTCTCTTTTGTTTCGAGTCTAAGTGTGGGAAGTGTACAAGAGACATCATTTTCTCACCCTAATCGGCAAGCTCAGGCTGGGCAAGCTGGTCATAGGGCGCATGGGGGCGATCCTAATCGGCTAGTCACTTTTGACAATACTGGTCATAGGCCCCATGAAGATGTTAACTCGAGTGCAATGCCCACACTTAGAGGGCAAGATTTGCAACATAATGCTGAGGGCTTAGTAGCTAATCCCTCTTATGTTTCCTGCCCTCTCTTGCCAAGCTCGGGAACAGCCGCATTTTCTAATCACCCTAAGTCCATGGCCTCGGTTGTGGGCAATGCCGGAGTGGTTGGGATGGGGCAGCTCTCGGACACGTCCAAACTAAATACAGGCAACATGACTGATAGCCAGGGGGTTGGGGGTAATCCTCCTTTCTTCTTTGGTCAATTTGGAGACACGTTGTCTGTACTTAGTTTTTCTGGGGGCAACGTGGGTGTGGATGGTTTGAAAGCTACGCAAACTTTAGTGTCCACGCCTTTGAATGTCCCACATGGGGATGCTATTGGGAGCAAGCAAAATGCAATGCCAACCCCCAATAGCAACCCCAACCCGAGACATGGCACTAATGCAGGAGGTGTGCATGTCTCGGGTCCTACCGTGCCCATTGCCTGGGCACGGCTTGCTACGCTTCATGCGCATAATGCGGCCCCAATGGGGCCACCAAGCTTGGATAATACGGCTCAGGTAGGTAGCTCAGCATTGGCCGTGGGCTCAGGTACGCTTCCTTCCTTTGCTAGTCTTTTTGCTTCCACGGGTCTGCCGGCTCAAGGTGGTAATGCGGGCCATGCCTCGGGGCTTAATATCTCGGATAAAATGGTTGAATCTTATGAGGGGGAGGCCTGCATTACCTTTGAGGACACAGAGGTGCAACAGATGAACAAGATAGGGGAAACCCTACTTATTGGAAAGTTCTCTTATGGCAGGCCCGTACTTTCCGTTATAAGAGAACACTTTGCCAAACGCTTAAAGCTGAAAGGAACGGTGAGTGTTGGCTTAGTGGACCCGCGGCACGTATCTCTTGCATTTTCCAATCCAGAAGATTGCATTAATACGCTAGTCAAGGGTCAGATTCTCTTTGACGGGAAGTGCCCGATGAGGCTTTTTAGGTGGACGATGGATTTTGACACGAGGTTTGAGACGTCGCTGGCCCCGGTTTGGGTGTTATTGCCCAACCTTAAGGCCAACTGTTTCTCGGAACCTTGTCTCAAACAGATTGTCAAACCTATTGGAAGGTTTTTACAGGTGGATACGCCTACGGCTAAGTTCACCCGGCCCAGTGTGGCTAGGGTGAAGGTTGAGATTGACTTGCTAAAGCCCCGGTGCCGCAAGATGTTCATCCGATTAGGGACTGCGCGCCCGGATCGGGAGGCCGTGGGGTTTTGGCAGGCGATAGAGTATGAGCGTATCCCCCCGTACTGTTTGAAATGCAGGAAACAAGGCCATTTGGCCAGTAGTTGCCGTGTCCCTGGTGGTGGGGCAGCTCCACGTTCCTCGGCATCACATGTGCCGGCATCAATGGCTGATGCTGGTCCGCTCCCTACCGGGGGGGGTCGGCCAGGACCGAAGATCAGCTATTGTGTTGGATCATCGGGACATGACGGCCAGTCAGAGGAAAAAACAAAGTGAGAAAGAAAAGCAGACAAAAGGTAAGGCCCCGATGGTTGACAATAGTCAGGGGCCGGGTGGTGGTGGTACAGGTAATACGGTATGGCGGGCCCTCTCAGCTGGCCGGACCACCCCGGTGCCGGTTAGTAATGGGTTCGCTGTGCTCTAGGATGAGAGCTTAGTCTCCGAGGAGGCTATTGTGGGGCCGGGGGGTGGCGACTTGCCAACTACCCCGGTTGATAGCAGGATATCCGTAGGTACGGCAGCACCCGGGGCAGGGAATGGCCAGTCGCCTGGCCAGTTGGTATCTTTCTCTTTCACTCCTTTTTCTCATTCTCCTAAGGTTCCCTGGGGCCCGAGAAGGGGGAGGGAAAGGGCTTGGTCAGATTCTGACGTGCCGGTGTCTGGTCATGAGCGTGAGGAGTGGGCCCCGGAGTCGGGGTCAGACTCTGAGGATCGGGTGCTTGCTGGTGTAGGCCCGGTAGGACGTCGGCTTATACATACCACAAAAAGGGGGGGCTCCCCTCACTCGGAGCCGGGTGGTCTATTGTCTATATGAAGATGCTCGTGTGGAATGTGCGGGGGGTGTCCTCCCGGGGTTCGGCACGCAGGATCCGTGTTTTGTTAAGAATGCATTCTCCTGTTGTACTTTGTCTGCTCGAGCCTTTCAGCTCGTCTGATTGGCTTGAGTTTTTTAGAATTCGTTTTAATTTTGATAATGGTTTTGCTTCTAATAATAATAAAATTTGGCTATTTTGGAATAATGACTTGGCAGTAACTTTTGAGAGTCAGACTGAGCAGTGTGTTACGATATCTTGTGTACACTCTACGGTTCTCACGCCTTTCTGGCTCTCTTTTGTTTATGCCAAGACCAAGGTACGCCTCCGGGACCCCCTGTGGGTTGAGCTGAAAGCTATTTTTTCTATGATCCCCGGGGGTGTGCCTTGGGCGGTTGCGGGTGATTTTAACTGTCTGTTAAGTGTGGACGAGAAAAAAGGTGGTCTACCGTATTCACACCGGAAGACTACTGATTTTCAGGAGTGTGTCAGTGCGTGTGACTTGGTCGACGCGGCCTATTACGGTTCCTGTTTTACTTGGTGGAATGGGCGCCGTAGAGAGGCGGCTATATGGATGCGTTTGGATCGGCTCCTCTACACCTTGGTGTGGGAGTCGGTTTTTACGTCATCCGTACGGCATTTGTCAAAGTCTACGTCTGACCACAGTCCGCTTCTAATATCCTTTGAGTTGATAAGTATGCAGGTAATTCCGAAGCACTTTGTGTTCCTGAACGTGTGGATTAAGCACGACGATTTTCTGAGGGTGGTGCGTGATAGCTGGCAGGTTCCTGTAGAGGGGGCCCCTATGTTTGTAATAGCCACCAAGTTGAATAGGTTGGGGAAAGTTCTGAGCACCTGGAGCAAGACTGTATTTGGGGATATCTTTGTGAAGCTCCGGGAGTATGAGGATAGTGTTCAGGCCCTAGAGGCTGCCTTACAGCAACACCCGGAGGATGAGAATGCTTTAATTGAATATAAAAAGGGTGTTGCTTTGTTACAGAAACAGATTGCTATAGAAGAAGATTTTTGGCAGCAGAAGGCGCGTATCACCGACGTTCAGGATGGGGAAAGAAACTCCCGGTTCTTTCACTCAGTTGTTAAGGAACGTAGGCGAAAGCTATATATACACAGAGTGAAGGGTGGTGACGGTGTGTGGCTAGAGGATAGGCAAGGGATTGCTAATCAAGCGGTCTCTTTCTTTGAGCATATGTTCACCGCGGAGGTTGGGGGTTTTGATTTGACTAGGCTGGACTGTGTCCCACGGTTGGTTACAGAGGAGGATAATGAGGTTTTGACGGCGGTGCCTGAGGTGGAGGAGGTGAAGGCGGTGGTAATGCAGATGAACTCTACGAGTGCGGCAGGGCCGGATGGTTTCTCGGGGGCCTTCTATAAGGCTTGCTGGGATATTATTCAGGATGATGTTGTTAGCAAGGTTCGGAGCTACTTTGCGGGACGGGAATTTACCAGGGCTATCACGCACACATCTATCGTCCTGTTGCCGAAGAAGCCGAGTCCGGAGATTTTTGCGGACTACAGACCCATCAGCCTATGCAACTTCAGTAGTAAGCTTATCACGAAGCTCATGGTGGTTCGGATGGCTACAGTCTTGCCTCGGGTGTTGTCACCGCAGCAGAGTGGGTTTGTGGCGGGCCGGTCTATTACAGATAATGTGCTTCTAGCGTCTGAGATGTGCCACGGGTTGAGCTTGCAGAACCGGGACATAGTCCTTAAGTTAGACATGGCTAAGGCTTATGACCGGGTATCATGGTTTTTCCTGACTTCGGTGATGCGCCGCCTGGGTTTCAGTGAGGTCTGGATAGATATGGTGTTCCGGGCCGTGTCTAACGTGTGGTATTCAGTGATTGTGAATGGAGTCAAAGAGGGCTTCTTCACGTCTATGCGAGGTCTTAGGCAAGGGGACCCGCTGTCCCCGACTCTGTTTGTGATTGCAGCTGAGGTCTTGTCGGTGTACATTGCGCGGGTCTATGATGGCACTACGGTGCCCCGGTTTACACAGCCGCCACGGACACCACATATTCACCACCTGGCCTATGCGGACGATGTTATTATTTTTAGTACGGCCAGGTTGAGAGCTATTGAGGTCGTGATTGGGGCGTTAAAGGAGTACGAGGAGATCTCGGGACAGTTGGTGAGCTTTCAGAAAAGTGCGTTTTACATGCACCCTCGTACTCCGGCCCACGAGATTGAGCAGATTTGCCAGGCAACGGGCTGTATGCATAAACAGTTTCCTTTTACATACTTGGGCTGCCCGGTGTATATAGGCCGTAAAAAGTGTATCTACTTTGCCTCGGTGATTGATAAAGTTAAGGCTAGATGCTTGAGTTGGCAATGCCGGCTGCTCTCGAAGGGCGGTAAGGCAATCTTGATCTCTTCAGTCTTGCAGGCCATACCGTTGCACATATTTTCGGCCTGCGCTCCGCTTAAGCAGGTCATACGGGATCTGGAGAGATGTTATGCGAGTTTTTTCTGGAAACAGTCAGGGGGCGCCCGGTACCACTGGAGTTCGTGGAAAACCCTCTCTCGTCCTAAGAAGGAAGGGGGGGTGGGGTTCATGGATTTAGACTTGATGGTAAGGGCGGCCAGTGCTAAATTGTGGTGGAATTTCCGGACAGATCATACTTTATGGTCGGACTTTATGAGGGCGAAATATTGCAGTCGGGTTCACCCGGTTGCTAAGTTGGTTCAGAATAGAGATTCGCACACCTGGAAGAGGATGCTGGCGGTACGTGATGAGGTCGAGGGGGTTCTCACTTGGCGGTTGTTCCAAGGCCGGGTTAGTTTCTGGTGGGACAACTGGTCGGGTCTGGGCCCACTTGGCAGGCTTTATCCACACCGGGGGGTTTCCTACTCCCGGGAGTTGCTTCTAGACTATGTGCGGGATGGCCAGCTTGATTTGACAGGCCACGATGACTTGGCATTTGCTGGGATTGGGGTGGACCTGTCCCGCTTGGGGCAGGGCCCGCGTGATATCCCACTCTGGACCGTGGCGTCCGACGGTATGTTTTCTTATTCCTCTGCTAAGGCCTTTCTTAGGCCTGCTTTGCCCACTGCACCGGACCCGCTCTTAGCTAAGTGTTGGCGCAAGCACCTTCCTTTTAAGGTGTCCTTCCTAGCTTGGAGGGTCTTCCGAGGGCGGCTTCCCACGGATGACATCTTGGCCCGTTTCGGTCATGCGATCGTCTCGAGGTGTCGGTGCTGTCCAGCCCCGGTCCCCGAGTCTATTGATCACATCTTTTATTCTGGGGAAACAGCAAGAGCTGCTTGGAGATATGTTTTGGCGTCCCTCGGCCTCTACTTGCGACACCGAAGTCTTAGGACTTTAATTGCAGGATGGGGTCGGGCGGGGGCGCGTAACCCTCTTTTGTCTTTTGTTGTTTGCAGGTTGCCGTATCTGGTGTTGTGGGAGCTGTGGAAGCACCGTAATGGGTGCATGTACGGCCGAGACACACCCAGCGTTGCACGGGTGATGCATGGGGTGGCAAAGGGGGTGGCGGAATGCCTGTTTAGGCGTTGGCCCGTGCAGCATATCCTGCCCTCTAACTGGAGGACTATTGTGGCATACTTGGAGGCACATGTGCCGAGGCGTGTTATTAGGACGGTCAGGTGGTCTCCCCCGGTTGCCGGGGCGTTAAAGATCAATCTTTCTCGATCTTCGGCAGCTGGGGGGGCTGCGGCCGTGGTGCGCAACCAGGAGGGTGGCTTCTGCTACGGGGTTGCGTGGTCTGGCCACGGGGAGCACGCCCGGGGAATGTTCCGGGCCCTTTTCTCTTGCCTGGAATGGTGCCTGGCCGGGGGAACTACTTTGATTGATATAGAGTCCACTTGGCCGGAGTTGGCTAGCTACGTTGATATCTCTGTTCGTCCGCCGTGGATTCTAGATGATGTTGTGACCAGACTCCGGTTTCTGTGTTCCTGTGGGGTGGTTACTGCTTCTGTGTGCCCGTCCAGGGCCAATATGCCTGCACAGGCGCTAGCTAACTGGGCGGTGGATACGCCGGGGGAGGCCATCTTTCGGAGCCTCAATGATCTGCCACGTAGGGTCCGTGCTTTACTGATACATGATGATGTGCCCTATGTGTTTTTTGATATTGATGATCCCCCGTGATTGTACTTGTACTTTGTTTGATTTGTTGGAAATTTGGAAAAAAGAAAAAACAGGAAAAAAGGAAAAAGAAAAGAAAAAAGGAAAAAAGAAAAGGAAAAGAGATGGAAAAAAGAAAAGAAAAGGCTGAGGGATAGAAAAGAATCGAGTGGAAAGAATGAGTGAAAGAAAAGAATAGAGTGAAAAGAATTGGAGTGAGAAAAAGGAGAGTTGGGAGGAAAAGAAAGAGTGGATGGGAGTTAAAAAACAGTGTGTGAGGTTCTCTGGGGACCGGGAAGCCCTGCTTCGCAGTGCTGAGTCTCAACGTAAGGTGCTGGCGGTACAACAGGGCACCCTAGTCCGGGCTGAACGGTGTGCCGGGCAGGATTATCAAATCCGTTGACCTGGTCAGGCTTGCTGCTGGCCAATAGTAGCTGAGTTCCTTCTGGACTCCGGGGGGGGGACGGGCTATTATTTGGGGGGTTGCTTTTGTTCGTGTCAGCCTGGTATAAACTTAAACACTCACCCGAGATAGATGTAATAGTTGGGTCATGGGAACACGATGCTAGCTTGTTCTATCTTGTTTCTATTTTTGCAGGTGCTGCTTCTTTGACCTCGGAGGCATGAACTGGTCTTGGGCTCTTTTTGGTTTCGCCTTTGCAGGCATCTTTGGAAAAGACCAGGTCTCAACGCCGATGCAAGCGGTAAAAAATTGCATCGTAGCCCGGGCTGAACGGTGGCCGGGTAAGTGTTTTTCAAATCCGTTGGCGGTAGTCCAGGCTTGCTGCTGGCCCATAGTAGCTAATCCCGTTAGGGTTGGTTCTGGTTCGTGCTGGTGCTGATCGGGAACTATCTGTATTTCTGTCTCAGGACTGCGTGCCATTACTGGACTTAAGCCTGCGTGCCATTGTTAGCTGTACATCTCTGCTTTGTCGTGTCTTTGGCTCTACAGGGCAGTCGATAGCGTTCCGGGAAGTGTTGCAGTTGTGGTGCATCCCGGCTAGGCGGCATTATGGTGTGTAGTCGCTGTAGTGCAACTGGCTGGGGGGCCACGTTTGTGACGCGCGAGGCATCTATCCTCGCTACTTGTGCTTCAGATTACATGGTGGGCAGAGATGCAGTTGTGCAGCATCTCAGTCTACTTACTGGTTTTGACATACTCCTGCCTACGATTAGTTAGTGATAGCTAGCATAGGGCTTGGGGCATGCATGTTAGAGCCCCGGGGGCCACTTTATGTTATCTTGTCTTATCTTACTTTTCCTTAGCTTATTAGTAGGATTTAGGCCATGTGGGGCCTAAGTCCATCCGGACCTTGTACTGGCCTTGGCCTTCCTTTTTATTAATAAACTTCTTTAAAAAAAAAAAAATGTAAATGGGTGACAGAATGTTGAATTTGTCTCATTAACCTCTTCCCAATGTTAACTTTATCATAAATTACTAAAGAATAAATGTAATAATTAAATATAAAAAAACAATGATACATGTCATATAGTAATGTTTAAATTAATAAAGGAATGAAGCATCATTAGCCGAAAATTATGTTGTGCAACTGTGTGTACCATGTATAGTGCACACGGTTGCAAAAACGACGTCTTTTTGACTATAAACGTGCGTCCCATTTAAAAAAAAAAAATCAAGTTTAATTCCCGGCAATACATTTTTTTGTGCATAATTTGAATTATATCCACAAATTCATATCTATGTATCCACAAATGCATAATTATATATCCATAAATTCATAACTATATATCCATAGTGAATGAATAACACAAAATCCAGAATGAATGAACTAAATATCCACAATGAATGAACTAAATATCCACAATGTATGAACTAAATATCCACAATGAATGAACTAAATATCCACAATGAATGAACAACATAATGTTGTTGAGGGGAATCGAAACTGAATTTTTAAAAAAAAAAAAAAAATGGAACGCGCGGTTGTAATTAAAACGACGTAGTTTTGCAACCGTGTGCACCATGCATGGTGCACTCGGTTGCACAGCATAACTATCCATGATTAGCTCCTATTACATTAATAAATGAATAAATCTCCCGATATAATTTGCAGGGATAATTTTTACAATTTACTACAACACATATATTATTATATTGTTCCCAAAAATTGAATCTCCAACCTTAAAGACCTCCACGTTCCGGCTCGACAGATTATCTGGAAAAATATAAATCATGCTAATTCTATTAATTGAACACATAGGCTAGATCTTTGAGAGGTTACTTCCGCACTAACTGATGAGACCGAATCATTATTTTTAAATTTTACTCATATGACCAACTGAACTGTCCATGTGAATTATATATATTATTATTATTATTCATGAAAAATGCAATAAGTGTTAACGTTAGGATGTTAAGGTAAAGTAAAAGATTGGTTAAAGAGGCACAAATCACAAAAAGAAGAATGCTGATTGTGCTAATCATGCTTGTCATCATAAAGGCATCTTTACTGCCTCAGAAAGTGGGATTCCTCAGCCCAGTCTGTAGTGGATTCTGTAATGACAAGTTTGACGTGATGTCACCTTTTTCAAACATACTGATTGTTCTTCCATTAATTATTGTTATTATCCTCCCATGAACTCCAAACCTTATCTTAGCCCCCCTTGCCCACGGTCCCTCCTAGATTATTGGGGGGCTGCCTAGCCCTTATCAAAACCTTAGTACTCTTTTCTATTATTCAAGTTTAATTTACTGCTTGTTTCTTTCTTTGGTTGTTGATGTTTCGAGTGAAAACTTGTGGCTTCTTCAGTAGTAAAAAAAATATATATATATTTGGGTTAAAAGTTTTTAATTCATCAATGTATCGAACTGATGGGTGTTGAGATGACTAATGGGAAAAAATTTGCATTAGAATTTGTTAATTACTTGAAGAAAGACTTGCAAAAATGTGTTACGTTGAGCCATCATCAATGAGAGGGTATGTGTGTTGCTTACATCTACTGAGAACAAAATATATAAGATGGTTGATCACGTGACCGGCCTCTTTATGTTTACTAGATTTTGGAGGAAAATGTCTTGATTGTGCCTAAGTTTGGTAGCAACATATGTTTGGGAATTGGGATAAAGGTTTTGGTTGTATCAAGGTGGAGTATATATATGTGATTATAAATGGTATATAGAGTATGTAGTGAGTTGGTTAATTTACGAAATGAAGTTTGTACCAGAAACTCTTAATTAATTAATCTAGTCAATAGACTCATTGTGATGAATCTTCATCGGGAAGTGTGCACCTTACTCGTGGAGAACAAAAACATATTACTAATCACTTGGCATCAGACGGTATCCATCCAACATGTTCAAGGTCTGAGGATGCTTAACACCATCCTCTCTCTGTTCACCAGCCGGGGAAACGCATAAAACAATAGCTATATTTGATATGGTGGTATATATATAGGCTATATATCTTATGTAACTAGAGTATATACATTGAATATTTGAGCTATATCATCAAATTGTTCATGGAAAAAGAAAAAGACTAATCTTCTTATAGGTTTTGATGTGAGTTAGAAGCCTTGTTGCATTGTGAGAGAGAGTCTTATTGGCTAATGGCTAGACATGAGGGCAAGTGGCTTTACAGCCTTTGCAATTGGACAAGGATATACATAAATGATTTTTTTTTTCTATAATAAACAAATGGAGTTTATCACAAGCTAACTCTAGGTTATAAATACAATTAAGAGTTGGTGTGAAAATTCAAAAAAAAAAAAATTATTCATTTTTGAAAAATATTTTTAGTTTTTAGCTTTTGGCATGGAGTAATAATTTTTTTTTTTCTTATTTAGTTCATTCTTCAAAAAAAAAAAAAAAAAAAAAAAAAAAAAACCAAAAATATATCACAAAGTTATTTTGTATGAAATATTTATTATTCTATGTTGATAAATGTAATAACTAAAACTAATGAAATTAGAAGGAAAAAAAAGTTAAAATTTTATAATTTTTTAGAGTACATACCAATCGTTATGCCATGGAACCGAGTTCACCATCCATGGTGAACACGGTCCCAACGGTAACGGTGCACCGTTATCTTTTTTTTTTTTTTTTTCTTTTTCTTCTTAATTAATCGCGCGACTTTGTTTCTTCATTTTCACATTTTGCAATTTCACTTCCATTTCGCGCAAGCTTCTTCAACTTTCATAAAATTATGAACGTGCAGGCATGGATTTATGAATGTGCAGTTATGAAATTATGAATTTTCTTTTATGAGATTATGAATGTACAATTATGAAATTATGAATTTTTTGTTATCATAACAGAAAATTTATAATTTAATAAATATTTTTTTATGCGATTATGAATTTTCTGTTATGGAATTATGAATTTTCTTTTATGAGATTATGAATTTTCTGTAATGAGATTATGAATTTACAGTAAATTCATAATCTCATAACAGAAAATTCATAATCTCATAACATAACAGTCATAATTTAATAAATGTAAATTCATAATTTGAACAAACGGTGCTGTTAACAGCACATTAACTATTTTTTTTCTGTAAAAACGATGTCGTTTAGGCCCATGTTCACCATTCATGGTGAACACGTTTTCAGGATATAATTTGCGATCAGGATATAATTTTCTAAATAGTAACTAAGTAGATGCCATGCCAGTCATCTCATTTGACACCAACTAAAGAGAGACCAGCATGAGAAAAGAATTCAAAAATTATCTTATTTCTTGTAAAAATTTATGAAGACATTTTTTTTATATAAAAACAATCATTTTTTTCATTGATCGAAATTAATTTTTCGTTGACTTCATTTTTTTTAATAGTCAAGCATTGAAAAAACTAGCAGAAGTCATTTTTCAAGTTTTTAAATATTAACATCACGTTTGGTTCACGGAATGAATTTTGAAAGAATAGATCCATTCACAGGAATGTTATTTTATTCATGACCTATTCCTTGAACCAAACATGTCATAATTTTTATATATTATGATAACTTTTTTATATATTATGATAACTTATTTGTTATAAATTTAGAATTTTGATATATTAATAAAGTTCTTTAAAATATTGTTTGTTCTTGCGCATATAGTGCTGATGCAACTTATTTATTTAATAAATTATATTAAACTCAATGACACTGCCAGAAGAAATAGCCAAGTTGCCTTAGAAAATAACAACAACAACAAAAATTAATTAATTAATTACCACCTTTTTTGGCATGTGATTTTGCTGATTACTTAGAATTTTAATAATTTGTTGATGATGACATTATGATCCAGCTTATATTAAATTAGAATATTAATAAATGTACATCGGACCAATTATAATGTACTTAATATAATAGAGTTTGTAAGGAAGAGTAAATTATAGTTATTGTATATGTCAGAAATGTTATGTGAAATCTTTTTTAAGAAGTGTGTTTTATTTAGACTATTATATTAAAGTTTAGTGTAATGTCTCATTCATCATTAATCAAACGGCAAGGGTTCGATCCTTGAATTAACGTTGGGTATGGAATATGTCAATTGTCCCATCTAAAAGAGGTGCCTACAATTCAACATTGTGATTAGTCACTGTGTCTGACGGTGGAAATTCTGAGTACACCCAAAAAATATGTTAATTAAAGAATATAGTAAATATAAGTTTATAATAATAATTATAAAGTCATTAATGTTAGTATTCATTAGTAATATAATTATAAAGGTGTAAGGGTAATTATGTTCAAGAAAAATATAGCTAGTGTGGACAATTTTGTTCAATAAAAATGAAGCATACAATATTTAAAATATAATGCATACGTTTATTAGCATACAAAACACAAAAGTCAGAAATTAAAATGACATGAATTAACACATATAATATTTTTATTTTTATTTTTACATTAGGTTAGACATATCAATAAATAACTTTGTAGTTCAATAACATTCTCTCAAAGGGATAGAAACAAAAAGTCTTCCCCTTTTTTTTTTTTTTTTTTTTTTTGGAAACTTTGCGCTCATTTTGGTTGAGTATTACAATGTTGATTTACATATATTTTATATATTTATTTTTCTTTTTACAAATAAAATATGTTATTTTCTCCTATAAAAATCACATCCATTCTCTGATATGATTTTTAAAAATAAAATGAGTGAATTTTAAAAAGTAATTTGCCTGTGTCCTGTGTGTATAGGGATAGGATCAAATAAAGACAACGTATTCTTATTTTTTTGAATAAAAATTGATAATTGATTTTAGCCACCTATCAAAATTCATTAATGGTTAAGATTTTAGAAAAAAAAAATACGAGTTAATTTTATAGTTATTACAAATTTTCATGTTCGTAATATTTATAAAACTGAACCTACCATTTTTTTTCATTATTTTTTTTAGCAACTCTCAACCATTGATCTACCCAAATGGATTAACCAATCAATCGATCATCACTCTTTACATTGGAGCATGTATCGAACCTTCCCCATATTAAGAACTTCTCTCATTTCCATTACCTTGCTCAATATTATTCCTCTAGACTCTGGTACATTTGATACATAACATGCAATTGATGTTGAGGTTGTAATGTTATATATATAGCATTGGTCATAGTTGATCCTAAAAAATAAGAGCCTTGTTTAATAGTTAAATTTAGACCATCTTCTTAATTTATTTGTATTATATAAGTGCAAATATAAAATAAAAATGCAATATTTATTAAAAAAGCTTTTGTCAAAATATGATGTATAATTAAAATACAAAGTTATTTATTTTTTACCTTGTCTATCAAGTCAAAGTTATTTCCCACATTTTCATTAATTGGACGAAGAAGTGTACATGCATCAAATCCACACTATACTATGTCCATTAATGTTACCTTTGAGTACGTATGCCCCCTTATATTCACGTCGAATAATCAATGTTGTAAAAATTGACCTAGACAGATGACGTTGATTAGATGCTAAGCGATTTCAACTCTAGGCAGCTTTTAATTAGTCGACTGACTAATTAATTAACCGGCCGACTAGGCGTCGAGTTGGGCGCCTAACTCGATTGAGTCGGTGCCCAACTCGGCTGAGTGATTTTTTTTGCCTTTTCAGCTACTCTTTTCTATATTTCTCTAGTCATGTACTCAACTAACTATTTAACATATGCAATTGACTAGTTAGGGAGATTATAACAATCTAACAATCCTAGTCCTGAATAAAAAAAGTGGAGACAATATACTCGGTTGCCTAGACGTTAGGCGTCACTCAGGCACCTGATTAGCACCTAGTGCTTACTGCCACATTGCTAATAATATAGAATTGTTTTAATCTTTATCAATTTTACAAATCAGTTATATATACTTTTACAATTTACTTCTAACACTACCCATCCATACAATTTAACAATATAATATCACTTCTAACACTCTAAACTCTCATCCATACCACAACACAACCTTAGCCATTAACATATTTTTAATATTATTAACAATACTAGTATTTGACCCGTGCGCTGCACGGTATGTAAATTAAAAAGTATTAATTGTGTGTATATTATGTTACAAATTGTGTGAACTAATGCGGTTAAAATTTATAACATATAAATGAAATATGATTGGGATAGATGGAGATTAAGTCCTAGAAAAGAGAATAGTACGAAAAGAGATCAAATAGTTGCAAGGTCATGGAACTAAGAAAAGAGAACTTTACAAAATTACAAATTATTGAAAACTTCATGATATACAACATTAGTGGTTGATGTAGTAGTTGAACTTGGGTCTTTGACTATCAATATTTTGAGACTGTTAGGATTGTTAACCCGAGATGCAGCTACGTACAACTGACCGTGTACAAAAACCGGTTTCTTTAGTATTAAACCAACATGAGACAACGTTTGTCCTTGACTTTTGTTAATGGTCATTGCATATGAAAGCATAAGTGGAAATTGCCTTCGTTGAAATTTGAACGGCAATCTTGGATCAGAGGGTGACATTGACATTCGAGGGATCAACACTTTTGTACCTTTGTTAGGTCCAGACAGAATCTCGCCTTCAATAACATGGTCTGCTAGTTTTGTGATTATCAACCGAGTCCCATTGCACAAACCAAGAGAATGGTCAATATTTCTCATTAACATTACCGGTGAACCTATTTTCAAAGTCAATGTATGATTCGGTAGACCTAAAACCCTAATGCTGTTTAGAAATTCCGGTGTGTGTACATCTCCAAATATACCGTTGTCGCCGTCGGCTTTGCCTACTGCGTCTGAACTAAAGTACGACCTGCTTTCGGCATTATGCAACTCAGTCATATAGTCATTTACTGCATTGACCACATCGAGCGTTGGTGCTAATATAGCACGACCTAGCAGATGCTTGGGGTTAGTGTTTCCATTTGCAAACATAGGAAATGTACTGTGCACAATTGTTTTAATATCGTCCGCTTCGGATGACAATAACATGGGTTTTGGAATTTCAACCTCTGCGTAACCATCATTCCGCCCACCCAGCTTTCCATCACCGACATTAGCAATCCAATCGGCAAATTCCTTTAATGCCTGCCGATTTCCACCGTTGGGTACCGAACTTAGTCTTAAGTTTTGTGTCAACCTTAAAACTTTGCAACTATCCCATAGGTATGATGAATTTATGGCTGAAGAAACAATATCTTGCCGTGTACCTTTTGGAACTACAGGGAGAATTTGGCGGAAATCTCCACCCAAAACCACAGTTTTACCACCAAACGTCTTCATTTCACTACACGGGTCTACAAAACGCAATAAATCCCTCATAGTTCGATCTAATGCTTCAAAACAATGTTTGTGCATCATGGGAGCTTCATCCCATATTATCAAACTCGTCTTTATCAACAATTCGGCCAGGTCGCTACCTTGCTTAATGTTACAGGTTGAGTCTTCATTTATTGCAATAGGTATTGCAAATCTTGAGTGAGCAGTTCGGCCACCTGGTAACAACAGAGAAGCTATGCCACTTGATGCCACATTTAAAACGATCTGACCTTTGCATCGGATTGCAGCTGACAATGCTCTCCACAAGAAAGTCTTTCCTGTTCCACCGTAGCCATAAACAAAAAATAAGCCACCTTTACCGTCTGCAATGTCTTTTATAACCGTATGATAGATGACACTTTGTTCTTCGGTTAGTTTGGCAGAAAGCACTTCAGCATCTTCTTTCAACTGCTCGCAATTGTAACTTAACTCTTCAAAAACCAGCCTATTCTGAAACAACCTTGAATGATCAGTACTGGGTATTGGCATCGGAGGATAGTCTTTTAAAGACTTATTTTGTTGACCCAATAGGTTTTCCAATTCGAACAATGCAAAGTTCTTTTTCTCTTCCTCTGTTAAGACCAAATCTATTACGATGGCAACAGTCAGATAGTTATCGATATAACTTAAGATATTTTATTGTATCAAACAAAATGTACATTACCTGGTTGATTTAATATTCTTCTTTGATAGTGTTGAGCATCTTCAGACAAATGTTTCCACACTTGATTCCAGACATTTTCGAGCCTAATAATGGATGAGGATGTTAGTAAGACAACAAATAGCTTCCTTAATGAATATGCAGTTGACCAGTAGCTTGCTTCATTTATAGCATCAATGTATTCTTTATCATCGTCTAGCAATCCATGAGCATAACATGCATCTCTAAACGTTAAGTACTCAACACCATTAACTGTCCTAATATCTTGGAAGCTTTTTGGACCGCGGACTATGTTCAATAGAGACCTTAAATAATACATTTCTCCTGAAGCGGGTGGTACATAGAATATCCGACCAATTGAGAAACCCTTCTTTCTTGGATGCCATTCACGGATGTCCTTTTTCCACACAAATTTGGTAGGCATCTCAATGTAAGTTAATAAGCTCGCTTCTTTAAACTTCTGGTTCGCTACAAACCATGCATTAAACGTACTTTGCCCAACGGTCTCTCTGTTTAAGACATGATCAATGGTATCATCATCTTGGAACACGACTGATTGGCAGTCAGGCAAGTGAAAGCTTAGTCGCTCAACCGGTGGAGTCCTGTACTGAACTTCAAAACTAAACAACCTCCATGCTGCCTCGCACGCAGAGATGTACCTACAGTCATAGTACATGTTTATTTCATCCACCATCTCATTACCACCTTCATCCATTGTAGTCTTATAAAACTCAGCCTTACATGGTCGTTACCCTTGTTGACATACTTGAATAGGTACTTGATTGACCTAGATTGGTTACACCACTCTACATTAATGTGGGCTTTGTATTTCAAGAGCAAGTACCAATTATGTGGTACAACATACCTATTGTCCAAATCTATTCCATTTTTTTTTATTGTCCTCTTATCATCCCTTCTTCGATACAACGGGTAACCATCCTGGTCAAAATGAGATGCATCAATATATCTTTTTGGAAAATGTTTCGAACACTTTCCATTTACCATGCACGGTGAATTGCTCCTGGCAACACCACACGGACCGTGAACCATGAATTCTTCGACAGCTTTGTAATACTCAACGTCAATCAACTTGTCTGGGATCTCGGCAGAAATGATCGTGTCCATAAAAGCAAGATTGACAAAGCAGCTCGTCCCTTGTAGGAACAGTAGTATGTGAGTGTGTGGAAGACCGCGTTTCTGAAACTCAATTGTGTATATCACTGTTGCATAAAGAATTATATTGTGTGAGTTATAAAATTCGTATTGATAATTAATGTATATAAAAAGGCATTTATAAGAAAATGCGGGGCGCACCTGCCCTTACCGGACCAAACAGTTTGCCATATTTTATTTCTTTTATTAAGCAATCTAGCTTCATCTTAAAAACTCTGCAAACAATGTCCGGACGATCTTCAGCTTTCAAATTTCTTTTCTCCAAAAAGCGTTGAATCTCCGGCCATTTAGGATTACATGTAAAGGTAATAAACAGGTTTGGATAACCTATAGATCTGCAAATTGCCATGACGTCTTGGTAGTTCTATATCATGTATCTTGCTCCTCCCATGAAACTTGAAGGTAATATTATTCTTTTACCTTGCGAGCTAGGTTGAACTTCACCTCGTGTTAACGCATCAGAAAGACCTTTGTACGCCTCACATCTCAAAGCTTTTTGATTTGACCGAATATATATCAACCTCGAAGATTCAACCATAGTATACGCATCAACCAAGAATTGTTGGAATAACCTTTTAGCGTACATTATAGTTGAAATCTCATTTGATCTTTCGTGAACACGGAACGCGAAGTATTCTCTTTGTGAAACACTCTTTCTTGCAAAATTTTGTTTAGTACCATGTGTTGCAAAATGTATGTCTTCCCTAAAACCATCCTCTCCATATGGAAATAAAAGCGGGTATTGCAATGGTAGATACGCTGGGTTTAATTCACTTATTCGTTTCAGCATCCCCGATCTAGACTCGACGACAATATCACGTTCGCCCATGCTAGGGTCTAGATCTCCAACAATGAGAGCAGCAACCTCGGAAGTAGTTGGTAGCGCATACGTTCTAGCATCTTTAGACCTCTTCCCTATTAATCTCATTCTAATTTCACTTGTAGGATTAGATTCCATAAATGACTTGGCCATTCTGAATGACTTAACCAAAACATTGTGCTCATCTAGGTCTTGCTTAATGTCATGAACTACATCAAGATGAAATGCAGAACCATTGTTTTCCGTCCTAAACAAATAAAAAAATATAATATAAGATTATAATATAAGATTATTATTATTAAAAAATGACAGGCCAAAAGAGTTGATTAACAGGGACTATTATACCTGAAAGAGTTGGATCGATTTTGTATCTCATTCTCTGTATCGTGAATGTATAACTGTGCAAATTTTGGTTGAGTGCCAAGAGCAGGCAATAAACTTCTAATCCGATGGAAATTCTGACCATTTATACGGAATATAGGAGGTGATGTTCCGTTGTTAATAGTTCTATCAATTTTTCCACCCATTGACGTGAAGCAAAACATGTTGTTATAGGACCTTATATTCTTCAAAAAACATTTGTTTTTCTCACTTGATGTAAAGAATAGATCAAACAACTTTTGAGGAGGCCTTGTCATCAATGGCAACTTTATCTTACCATTCACACAACATCCGGAGTATTTAGGCCTGTCACATGACCTTGAATTGCTAGACCGTTCATTGTACCAAAAAAATGCATTACAATGCTCGCACAAATACTCTGGATCACCACTATCAAAATAATAGTCTACAAAAAAAAAAATACTTTGATATTAGTTCACGGGGAAAAACAATAATATAGTTCATTTTAGTCCAAAGATAGTATGTCTTCGTTGGGCATCGTTTAATACGTACTCACCATTTTTTGAGGGCACATTGTCATGCAATTGTTCAACAACTTCGTGAAAATCTGATGTCAAATTTCGACAATGCTTGATGGGTTCAGTCTCCGGCTCTACCACGATTATTTGCATGTTGTTGTCATTTGTAACACAACAATTACTTTCAAATCCTACAGAAACGATTATAAAATATATTACATTCTAATTTAATATTGACTATGCAATAACCAATTGTTCCTCATAATATATTGATACCTAATTGCGAATCTGGACTTCGATTTAGGTCGAAGTAACGATGTGTACAATTGGATGTAGTTGGTTTGTCGCGGTCGCCATTAACTGTACCGCAAATTGCTTTAATTAAAAAAAATTGTAGAACGACTTGTTAGACGATTAAGTATTACATTTGACTACAAAATAAATTTATACTAATCTTATAACAAATATACTTGTTGAGATCATTACTATTTGATATGTTGCTTAATGGCATTCTGCTACTAAAAACTGGCGATGACGTAGTCTGTATTGGTGTTCGTCCGGGAGAAGGCGCTGTGAATTAAGGTAGGACAGATTATAATGACGTAGCATTTACCGCAAATGAGTATAGGTTATATACTAAATTTCAACTTTATTACCGTGCGAGCCTGGTGATGTATTTAAGTCAAACGAATGATTATGGCGCTTGGTCCGCGGCGATTTATCAAGGTCCACGGTAGATCGAGTCAAATTTGCTATAATTATAGAGCAGTGGTAAAACACACACGATAGAATACTAATTGTCCAATTTGATTGTTAGATAATTTATTTACAAAATTATTTGTAATATTGGTTTAGCTAATTACTATTTGATATGTTGCTTAACGGCATTCTGCAACTAAAATCCGGCATTGGGGTAGTCCGTATTGTCGTTCGAACCGCAGTGTCACCTGTCAATTGCAATGACAATTAATATTAACAAAACTCCATTAATGGAGTTAATTGTTGCTAATGAAAACACTTACCATTGGTAAGAATACTTGCGTACTTAACGAACTTTGAAAAACGCCAATTAGCGGTGTACCAATTTTCGTATTCTTGTTAGATTCAAACGACGGCATGTACGCTTCCCCATTGACAGTGTTGTCTGTTAAAAAAAACAATGTTATCAGTACACATTTATTATTTGGTGTACCATTTTTGTTAATCATACATAGATCAAGTTTAATTATTCAATCATAGTATGTCAACAACCACGTTATTATATCGTATAATGTTTATTATAATGTTAAAGTACTAAAACTAATTTATTATATAATCATAGCTTAATCTAATTTACATTCGTAATTGCCTAAATATTGACATAACATTTATCAGTATAATGATAGTAATAATAATGATTTGTATTATTATAATAAAATAATAACAATAGTAAACTGATAATATAACGCTCTTCCCTAACACTATAATAGTAATTAAAATAACTATTAATTACCAACCATTATAGTAAACAATTGAGTACAGGAATTTGTAATACATAAACAATTAAACTTATAATAATAAACAATTAAACATAAACAATTAAACAATTGAGTACCTTGTTGAGTACCTTGCTAATAGTAATAATAATAATAACAATAATAATAATAACAATAATAATAATAATAATAATAATAATTAATATATCTGACATAAACATCACAGATGGCCTGAGACGGTGATGTTAACAACTGTCCTTCCCTTTCCTACACACCTAGCCTTCATCCTCATCTAAGCTCATCTCACCCATCCCAGTCTCGGTCCTCTCACCACAAATGGAGTTCTTAACTCCCATTTAGGGTTCGATGAGGAACTGTTAACTGAACTATACTATGGATTTGCGATGATGATTACCTTACTGTGAAGTATGTTCAATACTCCCAATCTGAGTGTTAACCCCATAGTCAAAACCCCGATTCAGAGATATCACGGTCTATCGACCGCCATATGAACACTATACTTTGCCGGCTTTCATGGATAGAGGGAGATCGAAGGTTGGTGGTTAGTAATGTGTGATGCTCAACGATGGACCAAGGCAGAAATGGGTGTTCTCCTACACGATTTCTAGATTTTATACCAAGTTGGGTAACAATTTCTAACCCTATCTCTTCTAATTTTTCAGATCTAAGTATGGTGACTATATATCTATCTAAAACGGCAGTTTATAGAACTAATTTTTAGAAATCATCTTCGTGTATACTGAAATTTGTTTATCAACACATCTATTCACTGTAATTTAATTGATGCCATTAATTTTGGGGGTCAAGAACACATGCACATAGTTTATATGGTTTGAGCTAGTATTTAGGGCTATACTCGAACACAAAAATGCTCTACTACTTTAACAGCTTCTAGTATTACCTTGATTATTGTTGTTGTTCTGCTTCCGCTTTGCTCCAATTGTGGTTGAAGTTGTAATTTTCTTCATGTGTTCGTCTGGCACTGAATTGGCTAAATTCCAGTTTTGTTTAGGTAGTGGTTAAGAGAGAATATGAATACCTGTGTGTTGATTATATAGTAGTAGAGCATTCCCATTCAAGATTGGTAGACAACATTGGAAAATGGTGAATATAAATCAAGTTGGAATACTAAAAGTTTTATTTGTGCTACTTAATGCAGTGATATTATTACACTTTCCTTCTCATAATTACATTGATTAATCAAATTAGTCTGAAATATAATAAGGTATTGATTAAACTATTTTTCAGGTATCTTGAATATGAAAAGACCTGTGGTTGTGAAAATGTTGTGACACGTTTTGACTAAGTACCAATGGTATCCAGTTTGGTACTTACAGTTGCTTAGCAAGGCTCAAAGATAAGTGTT